CTCTGCTGTACTTCTCCCAAATTGTAGCTGACCCCAGATAGTGCAGCAGACAGGAGGTCGGCTTGTTTTGTTTTTATGACCGAAATTGCGGAAAACAACTTGTGAAGTTGCGTGAAAACGCTGGTACCCTTTTTCCACTTTGATCCCCGCTATTTTTTGCCATCATGTCCCTCTGTTGTCGGACAAACTCGCCCCCACTTCCTTACTGCCTTGCCCATATCTAGACCCACAGCTTATAGCACAGACCACGCTTCAATACTGGGCATAAATCAAAAATGTCTGCATCGAGCTCACTGCGACACATTGCTGCAGGAGTATAACAGGGTTCCCGCGGGTCCTTAAAAAGTCTTAAAAGGCATTGAATTCTTCAAAATAAAACTAAGGCCTTAATTGAATTAAATCAGTCTTTCGTAGGTCTTAATTTTTAAAACATCATAAATAGGATTCTTTTTATTATGATTTATTTTTGTAATCTAAATAAAACATAAAAATTGACTTTTTTATAAAAAAAAAAACAATGGCTCGCAATTATTGGTTCCATTCCGATAGTTGAACCAATAAAAGCGTTGTTGCGGCCGCGACATTTGGGAGATATACCATTTACTTTTTGTCTGGAAAATATGAGCAAGTGTAAATGTAACAAAAATTGGTTATCCAGCCAAGAGTTTTCTCCATGGCTAAAACCAGTACCAGGGAACATACATGAGGCACAGTGTATTTTGTGCAAGAAGTCATGCAAGAACGGAACGATGGGAATTAAGGCAGTGGAGTCACATGCGAAGCGTGAAACACAAAGCGTCAACATCGAGTTACCGAGAAACAGCCGGTCCCTGCAACGCTTCCTCTTATCACCAAATCAAACATATTAAGAAAACGATACAAAGAAAAATAGCTGCAAAAAAGACTTAGCACTGGTTATGTTGTGGCTTTAAAACTGATTTGTTTTGTTCCCTGCTAAAACAAAGTTTATGAATTCAGTTAAATAATTGTTAAAATAGATCTGTCATTTGTGTGTTTTTAGCTTTCTTCCTGTATGGGAAGCTTTTCAAAATTTAAAACATTGGTGCAGTGGTTTATGTAAAAAAAAACCTTTGGGTTAAGTTGTCGCAAGCGGGTTTTTCTTTTGTTTCTTGTGAATTTGGTCCTAAATTTTTATTTCAAGTGGCATTAAAAAGTCTTGAATTTAACTTGCCTTATGCTGTAGGAACCCTGTATAACCAGCCCTTAAGTCTATTAGCTGTTCTGTCCTTTCCAAGATATTTCCACCACTATGCTTCATAGTAGGTATGACTTTCTTCAGCATTCCTCTTCCTCCAAACATACAGTTTGTGCCAGAAAGCTCTTTCTTGGTCTCAATTGACCTCCTGATACTCTCCCAGTCGTCTTTTTCACACCAGCCTGTTTGCCTATAGTGGATTCACTCTTCCCAGCCTGGTGCAGGTCTGCAATTTTCTTTCAGGTGTCCTTCAGCAGCTCTTTTGTCTTGGCCAAGGTTGAGTTTGGAGTCTGACCGTTTGAGGCTGTGGACAGATGTCTTTTATACAGATAACAAACAAACAGGTGCCATTAAAAGTGATGAGTGGAGGACAGAAGAGCTTCTTATAAAAGTTCTTACAGGTCCAAGAGAGCCAGATATCTTACTTTTTTTGTTGGTAGCAAAACATTTTTTTGTAAACCATAATTTCTAAATAAATTCTTTAAAAACCCTACATATTATTTCCTGATTCTTTTTCTCATTTTGTCTATCATATTTAAAGTGTACCCATGATGAAAATGATCTATATATATAAATTATACTATATAAATTATTTTCTTTCTAGAGCTGAAGCACTTAATCGGATTAATCGTAATTAATCATCAACTAATTTAGCAATTGATTAATTGTTAACTGAAGTATAAAGACTTTAAAACATGCCTTTAGCTGACAGAGCAACCGACTTAGAGCAATAATTATTCCAAGATTGTAAAACATAAACATTTTGCATAAAAAAAAAAAAAAAAAAAAAAACTGTTAATATGAACTCCTCAAGCGGAAAAGTTTTTGTTTTACCTGATTAAATTTGGTAAAAGGTCTTCTGAAAGGAACCTTTTGCTGTTGAATTATTAATCGAAAAAATAATCGTCAGATTAATCGAGTTGCAAAATAAGCATTAGTTGCAGACCTAGTTCTTTCCACTTACGCAATATGGCCCCAACAATGCTCAGTGGAATATTCAGAAGTTTAGCTCTAACTAATGCCATCATTATGTTTTGCAATAAGGTTGCTAAGTTCCTGAGAAAGTTCTTTACTTTTACCCATCATGAATTTTTTTTCTCTGTAATACCAGAGACATCTAGGCCATTATTTGGGACAGAACTAGCTGATATTAATTTACACTGACAAGGGGCAGTATTGCTTTATAATTACTGAACGATTTTGACTGGTGTCTTGGCTTTCCATGATTTCTATTGTGTTCAATACTTTTTCTATTTCATTTGAGTACACATAATTATAATTAAAACCCTGTGTTAAAACAACAGTAATGCCAAGTGCCAAAAAAAAAACAAACACATTTTAAAAGTAAGAACTCAATTTTTGACATCAGTATGCAATCATTTGTGATTAAAAGAAAGTTTTTTATGATGTGAGTCTTTCTCCAATCAACACATTCTGAGAGAAAAATGACAATTACCATCCCTGGACAGACTTGATGAGCAAATTTGTCACAACCATGTGCTTGCACTGGATTGAAGACCAGAGATTGCATCAAATGATGGCGTGCTTGTGATTAAGTTCCATGTCTTGTGCCATCTGTAATCAGCGTCTGGCCCAGATGAAAAAGCTTGCCGGCTTCGAGTGTTTATCAGCTGTTTCAGGTCCACAGCTGTCCTTTGGAAGTAGAGAGCTGCCCGTAAATAATAAATATGTGGTGCATTTGTTTGGCCTGGAGCCAGTAACATATGTCTGCATGTTTTTTTTTTTTTTAAGTGAAGTGTGGTGTGTTTGTGTCAAAGGTCATTTACACCTTTGATCTGGGCTGTAAAAAAGCCGATTTTTTTAAGGGACAGATTGTTGCATTTTTTTAACTAGAGGTAGACTGTTTTTTTTAATTATTGCATCTGTGTTTTATTTTAAGTCCCAGCCATAAGATTTTGCCTCAAGAGTTTTTTTTTTAAACAATTAGAATAAAATGAAAGGACATTCCCTGTCAGTTACGCATCAGGTGTTTATTATTAGGACATGAAAAGCAGCAAGTCCCCGCCAGATCTTTCTAGTAACACGAAATATTACCATGTTTACTCGATGCTTTGAAGTGGCATTCTGTTGAGAGGTAATGACTAATAGATTGAAAGCGTAGGTAACAGGTTAATAGGAATTCCAGCATGAAAACCGTAAAAGAGCAGTCGTTAGGCACAAAACATTTTGGTGAAGGATTTTTGACTCTAAAAGCCAGAATCACAGCATAGCAGGAATCCAGGGATATGCTAATTGCACGTATGGATGTGTTTTGTTGTGTGATTTGCTGTATAAATGGTCACCCTGAACTCTGCATCTGTTGCCGTCGCTTCCAATCAATGAAACCCTGCAATTTCACAGGATTCCGAACTGGTTTTACATGCGCAGGCAAGCTCTGTGTCTTGTTTAAGGTACAGTCCAACCATATGGTGTGTGTGAGTGTCACAGTGAGACGCTTACTAATTGAGGACCTCTGGGCCTTTAGCTGTCCAGAACTTCACACACCCACAGGCCTTAAAGTGCTGCTCTTAGCTCTGCTGTCATCCTCCCAAACACAGGGGAGTGATCTAGTTGGGAAGAAGCACTTCTAATGTAGCTGAAAGATACAGAAAAGCTGCTGGTCTTTTCAGTCTGTGGATCATTTATGCCTGGTTAACAGAAATAAGTGATTTGACATGACAAAAGTACATGAACTGTAAATCAATTTTTTTGTTTTATCACTACATTTTTCCTTCAACAGAGAGAGATTTTTAAAGATAAGAACTTAATTATTACCTGATGCAATATTAGAAAAGAGAACATGCAGTTTGGCTGGAAGCTTTCATCGTCTTCCAGCTGCAAAGCAAAGCCCAGCCTGTAAAAACAGACCCAGATTAATCAGGTCACAAAGAGGCTCATAGAAAGAACAGCTCATTGGTCAGCAGGATAGGGATTGTTGGGAACATGTCACAAAAAACATTAAAGTAATGTAGAACTGGTCAATTAATTGAAATTTCAATATAATTGCAATTTTAGAAAACAAATTTTTTAAATCACAGAGGTACTAATTTTTGGTCACATTACATTGAACAACAAAGAGACACTAACTGTATCACCTCACCCCTTTAGGTAGTGATAATTCTTTAGTGCAAAGGAAATAAATATAGAATCTGAATCACAACTTTAGTTAAATAAAAACAAAACTACAGGATTTTGATTGATTACTCACGTGCAAATCAGCTGATGGTATGTATCGGGCTTCCAGTACAGATCGGGTAGAGACAGATGCCAACCAAACAGAGGAACAAAGACATTCCCTTCATTATAAAAGCTTGGTAATTGTATGTAGGCATGGAATGAAATTAGTCTTATTTTTTACCACATTTGATGTATTATGCTATCCTTTTTTTTATACCGTCTTTGTTACATTTATCAGCACAGATCAGGCTTTTATGCACTGTTACTTATTCTCTGTTTCCTTTGAGGTCCAACCTTTTTATGCTGATTTTGGCCCATTCTCTTTCTTTCTAAAAAGTATAAAACATGAATTTTGTAGTAATTTAACAGTTAAACTTGACTGACAGAGAATAAAGGTATTCTATCCTATTCTGTTCACTAGTATAAATAAAAGCCTAGAGTTAAAACAGATGTTTTTGTGTGTTACACAGCAATATTTGCTGTTTTTATTGTTGGTACATTTGATAAACAGCTGATCCAGCACAAACTCTGCCTGCTGATTGGTGTGTTGCTCCCCATGTAACGTAACAACCAGCCTTTCTTATCTAACTGACATGTTTTTTTTCAGACTCCTGGAAAAGACAAACCCCAGGCCGGTCCTTCTAAAACTTTAACTCTGCCTGAAATTAAGAACAAGTTATCATCAGCAGCCAAGGAGGTAGGCCTTCTTCTTTTGCCTATTATCTCTCCTCTTTGGCTTTTTAAGTTATGACCTAGCAGATATGTCTTCTTTAGGGGAAGCCACTACCGAAGACGGAGCAGAAGTTTGAGAATTTCGTAAGGACATCTTACAAAGTCACCGACAAAAAGGTAATTAAAGGTTACCTGTGAAATCAAGCTTTCTTAATGCTCAGAATCTGAGGTCGTTCTTCTCATCATCACCACAATTATTGTTTTTGTGTCTGATATCAAACCAGCACTTTATAAATATCAATGCCTCAGCTTCATAAGCCAAGGGAAGGTTTTTGATGTCAGATTAAAAACAGATATCAGTGTTGTGTATCTATGCACAAAGTCACTTGTACACAAATCTTATTATAGCCTTGAAGTATCATTGAGAGTGAGGTCTTTTCAAAATAAGTTCATGCTGTTTCTATGAGCTTTTATGAGATTGAATGGAGTAGAGCTGTCAAGAGAAGTTGGCTCCAACTAATATTCTGTTTTCAGTCTTAGTAGCTCTAATGAGGGGACTGGTTTTATCTGAATGCTACTATTCAAGGAGCTGTAATCTTTTTTTATGCTGTCTGTGGGATGAAAAACACAATTTCCCTGCACTTTAACTTGATTTAATCCTATAATACACTCAGTGTATCAGATTGTAATGCTGTGGCGTTGTTTAGAAAACACCTCTGCCCCTTAAACCTTTTCTGTATTTCTTCAAATTGCAACCATAGATGGCAATCTGTTGTAAATAAGTAGCTTTTTACATCGCAAAATGCTTCACTAGAATAAAAAGAAATATAAAATAATTTATAAAAACATCTCATTAAGTAAAGGCCTGTCATTTAAAGCCTGGCTGTTTGCAGATATGGTTAAATGCACAAAGTGTTTTACTGAAATGTAACTCCTAAATACTCCTACTTGTCCACTTTCTCTTACTCGTCACTGCGTAAGAGAGATGATGTCCTCAGCAACGGTGGCTCAGGAGGTCAAGGTTCATCCTGTAACTCCTCCTCACCAGCTAAGAGGCATAGCTCCACATGCTGGGTTCCCTGGGCCCCCTCCCGGTGGAACACCAGAGATGCATGAGCCACCTCAGCTACTTCTCTCTATTTGAGATCCTGTTTTTTTCAATCCATACCCAAATATGAAGGCAATAAGGTGAGGCCGATATGCAAGCCAACTGTTAAATTCAAAGCTTAACCTTTTTGAGTCAGTTCTTTCCTCACCACTACAGACCGATGCATTGTTCATATTACAGCAGGGCCTTTTTCTTTGTTTTCGTATTTTTGAAATAACTGCAGAGTATACTCACAACTGTCACTTTTGGCCGACTTGAATAGACCCCTTTGGTCCCCACCGTCTGAGCATGTTTTAAATAAAGACCAACAAACTCTGGTATGGACCAAACAACTGGACCAAGATCCACTTTTTTAAAATGGTCTCGGTCCACCTCTAAAACAGACCTTGATCCAGTTTGCGCCAGGTAGAAACACAAACCGGCCTTGGTCCGACCCAAATGCTGAGGGTATACTTCACTTTGGACTTAGCAGGCCACCACTGTAGTAAACCTAGTATCAAATTCACACCTATTATGCTGTTGCTTAGCAACGCTACCGCAAGCAAGTGGTGGATCCCCCTCCAATGGAATGACGAATGCATGGGTTTACTGTGAGATGTAGCTAATTTTTAAAAAGGACAATTTTGAATGAAAAAAAAAATAGAACTAATGAAAAAATGCAGCCTGCTTTGAATTAATAAGGTCTGAAAGGAAATTAAAGATGAAGTCCCTGTTTAGTTTTTTCCATAAGCCAAATAAAGACATGGATAGAATATGGAATACAATGCTATGGTCATACCTTCCTTCCTGTAAAACGTGGTGGAGGCATCTTAATGATGTGGTGGCAAGCTAAGGGAAACTAGTTGGAGTTGATAATGATGATTGGAGCTAAATGCAATCCTTAAGAAATAGCCAAAAGCTTCAAGGCTCTCCTTCAGGACATTGTCTCTAAATAGTCAGAGAATCATAAAGAATAATAATGTTTAAATGGCTTTTCAAAAGTCCATATCTAAACTGGATTGGGAATCTGTGGCAACAGACACTTTCCATCCAATGGGACTGAAGAGAAAGGAAGAAGCAATTTTGGAAAACCTGTTAGATGCTTCTGTGCGGCTTTGAACACCAATCTTAAGCTCTTCAAGGCTGTTTCAGCTCACGTGTTTGATTATCACAAGGAAAGCTTTTATTCAGTGACATTTCTTTTTTATATTATGACTGGCTTGTGCCTGCGTTGGTCTGTCCTGAAATGAGATCTCAGATGTTTAGGGTTGCAACTAACTAATTTATTAATTCATAATCAGATAGCAAAATGTTCCTTAAAGAAGATTTGTTTTACAGAAAAACCAGGTGAAATTGAATATTGAATTATTTTAATAAACAATTATTCATGATTTATCTGATTGTTTCAGAGTTAGTGATGTTTGAAAAGACCCGGTTGAGGCTCCTGTTTTCATTTTTACAAGGCGCTGACAGATCTATCATTGCCCAGTAGAAGCGTATCCCTCAAACCACAATTACTCATTGTGGATGCAACCAGTTTGGATTTTAACAGACTGAAATACTGACACACCAATTTAACAAGGAGAGGCATTGATCTAATCAAACAAGTTCTCATCAATAAAACTCTAATCCTGGTTAGATAAATGACTTACAGGAAACTACAAAAGGCTCCACTCAGCAGAGCAACTTTTCATAGTCTAAATATCTTTTCACTTAACTCAACAACAGCCCTTCAGTGTAAGAATGTTTTTCCTTCCCCTTTAAGCTGCGTCAGAAATAATTTTATTATTTAAAATCCCAACAACTTGTAACCACACTGAGTAATCTGATGGTTTTGTTTTTGCCTTTTGCTTGTTTAATGCTGGTTGCTGAACCGTCTTCGGGTAGGTTGCAGTCAACTCGTAAGGACAGTAACAGCTTCATCAGTTGTCATAGATTTGTACTCATACATTTCTGATCATTTGTACTCATTTGCCCCATTAAGTACAAATGCGACTACCCCTCTTAAACTGGGCTGAGATCGGTCCAAGCACGTGAACCAAGATAACTGTTGAATGTAAATGGCACACAAACTGAACCGGACCACGCCAGACACAACCGAACCATTTTAAATCTAGTAATACGTAGTTCAACAGTAGGGCTTGGTTCAGTTGAGGCTCGGTTCTCAGATAACAAAGAGCACACCGGCGGACAAGCGCTCCTTACAGTCAGCCTCTGTAATCATCAGCGTCTGTTGTTTCCTGCGTCTGTAAGCCCTGATTAGACTATCTTTTGTCGTATCTACTTCCCTGAAGCTCTGTCAAGTAAATTCAGAGAAAAGAGAGAGCAGTAGTACCGTAGATCGTCACTAGGAGGCGAGGAACCGTGCTAACGCAATGTGTAAATGGTCGTAAGGAACCAAGCTCGGCACAGTTAACTGATCCAAGCTTGGTCTGAAAGCGACACGTATCGGATTCACATGTTAGTGTAAGTGGTGCTATATTTGGGCAAAGTTGTAACTTTGTATCAGTGTTTCAAAACTTCCAATCATATTTTCTAACGGATGGAGCATTTAGTGTCTCGTGTACTAAGGAGCTGACAAGGAAACTTACAAATCTTAAAATTTTGTTACCTTTATTGATTCCTTAATTTAGGTTTATTGACATTTGCAAATTTGGAATCCTACACATATGTTTTATTGACATTCACCCTACCCCATACCGTTGTGTTTTTTTTGTTTTGTTTTGTTTTTTTGTATGTAGAATCTTGAGTTTGGCAGCTGAGGTCCTTTAGAAGTTTGAATAATTGGAAGTTAAATAAAAATGTTCTCGTTCCTGCCACCTCAAGAGCAGGAACAAATTTATTGGTTGCAATAAGCTTAAGGTTGTTGTGGGGTTTTGGGATGATGAGTTAGAGAGCCGCTCTCTTGGATACTGATCCCTCTAAACACACTGTGTAAACGCTCTGTTGTTCTCTGTGGCTGTGTCAGAATGTGAAAATCGTAGTTAAGGGAGCAGGTGGAAGCCTTTTGAGCGACGGAGGGCTGGGTGGACGAGGCAGAAAGAGGGGGTGGAGTCGGGTCTGGGAGAGCTTGTTGTTCCCAGTGTGTAGAAACATCTGTGGAAGTGCTTTGGTTTCAACAGCCAAGGCTGAGATCTGTCAGACCTGGAGCACCTAGTCATATACTCTGGTATGTAGAGCTGCCCCCACCCAAGCCCTCGTTGTTCCCCAGCATTCCCATCCAAGCATGGCGTTCCCACAGGCAAGAAGCGCAAAAATCCTGTTGTTGTAGTAAATGTGATTGAATTATTTCTAATTCTTTTTCTCTCCTCTCACCTTCCTCAGGTGGTCAAGGATCTTTGGAGTTTTTTGCAAACACTGAAGACTGAGAAGAAGTAACGGGAGGGATTTGTAGGTTTTCCTTTGAGACGTTTAAAGGCACAGTCTGCAATGTTTCCTACTTAGCCTCAGATAAAGACTGCAGTCTGTGGGGATTGCAAATTCTCAGTAAAGATGAAGAGTATTTCCATATGTTTTGATTTTTTTTGGATTCAAAGCACCCATCAAGTTATTCTTCTGATTAATTTTTTGAAGTTTTACATAATTTATCACGTTTATTAGCTATTCTATAAATGAATAAGGCCCTGTTCCATCTGAAAACAAATGTGGCTCTTATCAGTTTTATATATTTTTAAAGTCATATTTAAGCCTCCTCCAGATGTGATTCTGAGTCAGACTTTTTTTTTTTTTTTTTTTTTCATTGACTCCAGTGAGAAAAAAGCAAAGCGCATTTGATACGACTTTAACATCACCATCCATCAGTTTGTCACAACTTGACATGAGCAGCACCCAGAAGTGATAGCAGTTAGCATGGTGGACGGCAGCTGAGACTGCACCGCTCAGTGGGAGGGCAGCCAGATGTTGGGCCTCTAGTAGATGGAGTGGGCCAGATTGGAAGGTACAGGTTGTACAGATTAATGTACATGCTGCAAAAAGAGGACTGCATGAGGCGGTTACCCAGCATCTGGTAATCTGCTCCAATACATTGGATTGCAATTTATGCCTTGGCTTAAGAGTGGAGAAGAAAGATGCTAAGCACCCCCTCAGACACAATAGATGGTTTTCTTTTGATTCTTAAAACTTCTTCCATGTTTCCTGGACCTAAACATGCTTGGTGTGTCGACACCTGTTCCTGTTCTTTTACGAATGCTGGTTAGTTTGGAAACACTAACCGTGTTAAAAGTAATGTGAATAACCGTCATAAATGAGAATCAAGACATGCAGTGAGAACTAAGTCTTAGTGATGATATAAATAATAATACATAAAGGGAGCTAAGCTATATATCTGTGAAGATTCTCAGTCACCTAGGTCATAGTCAAGCTTGAAAAAGCTACGTTTAGGCAACTGGATTGAAGTTTCCTAGAAGACGTTTCGCCTCTCATCCAAGAGGCTTCTTCAGTTCTAACTAGTGGAGGGGAGCACTGAGATTAATACACTGAGAGCTAAGCTGAAGGACCCAGCAAGTATGAACCATCTTCTACAATTCTGTGCTGTAAATGAGCGCAGCAATGTGTTTTCTTACAAGCAGCAGGTGTAAAACAGCTTGGTTTGGGTGCTTTGGACCTCCTGACACTATGCGTCCGTCTTTAATAAAAGATGCAAAAGGAAAAATTGGACATTGTGCCTTTTAAATGCTTCATTTTCAGCTAGATTGAAATCTAAAGTAGTATTTGAACCTGTTAAAGCAAAGAAAGTTTGATCCTTTTCTGTCGTTACTCGCTGACATTTATTTTTTGTTTGTTTCTGTTCATTTTATATGCTTTTTATTGTAAAGATACTATGTTTGTTAGTATGCTTTCCTACAAAAATACTGTACCACCTTTTATCTGTAAAAGGTATTTGTTCAGTTAAAACAAAGCCCACCGTTTTCTTTAAAAATCCCTCTACTAACCCGAAGGGCTTCTCTTTCATCCATACCACAAAAAAATTGAAAAATGTTTTGGGAAACATAATTCAATCCAGAACTCGTAAAATCCGTACATCTGTGGTAATGTGTGCAGCTCTAAGCTAATAAAGAGCTGAAAGCTTCTTTCAGGATGTTTTCAGCAGAAACAGATTAGACATTTAGGTTTGTCCTTCAGATATTTTTTTTGTACTTTGATATTTAACCCTTAACACGTGTTTAATCAGTTGTTTCTGAATCAAACTGTGATCACAGCTGAATATCATAGATTCCAATAAAATGTCTTAGCCAATACGGCCAAGTGTTGAATCAATATCCAATAAGATAAACAGCTTTTGGCCTCAGATCATATCTAATGCTACTCCAGAATATTTCTTGTCTGATTTGCAATCATTTTTCTGTACTTGCATAGTTTTCAGTTTAATATTTCTTAATAAATTTCATTCTATCTGATTTATGTGATTTAATTTACTTTGATAACTAAACAGAAATGAGGTTCAAATGTTTCCTTGTTACTGTAAAACACTTTTTTAAAACTCCTGTTGTTTATAATCAGGGTTAATCAGATTTAATCAACATTGTTTTATTCTGTAAATTGATCTCTTTTTATTTACAAATCCGGCAGCTGAACTGTTTTGTTTGCTTTCCAAAAACATACATGAAACTGCTTGTGCTCCTTATTTGAAGTCATATTGCAGTTTGGTATAAAAGTGTTTAACTTGTAAACCCTTCTTTTATGTTTTATAGCTGTCCTGTTCATTTCTAATCTTTCACTTTTTTGTATGCCATGATTAATTTTTTGAGTGATGCTGTAATATGTTCAAATAAAGTACAAAGAGCCTCCTTCTGAAAACCTGAGTTTCATTCATCAATTTTAAAAATTCAGCCTATAAATGCAGTTTCACATTATCAAAAGTTGTTTTTTTTTTACTTTCTGAGCTATATTAGAAATAAAGCATTTTTCCTCTTTGAAGCCCATTTAACATCGGGAATAGCTCTCTCTCTCTCTAAAAACTTGCAAATACCCATAGTCAGAGTTTTAAATAACCAAGCTGAGTGGCAACATGGGTAAATTTTTTATCACATACAGTGGAAAGGATGGTAATTGAGGTAAAACAGGTAAAATGTTTAGTAGTGAACGACTGCTGTTTTTCAAAAAAGTAAAAAAAAAAAATCAACACCTTACCTTTTCAGATCTTTTTCCTTTTCTACGTTGTCCTCTAAGTGAGGCATCCCCAACCTCAGCCCTCGAGGCCCGCTGTCCTGCAGGTTTTAGAGGTTTCCCTGCTTTAGCACAGGTGACTAAAATGAGTGCACTAGACCAAAAGCCTGTTAATCAGCTTTCAATTAAAATCAGCTGTGCTGGAGCAAGGAAACCTCTAAAACCTGCAGGACAGCGGGCCTCGAGGACCAAGGTTGGGGATGCCTGCTCTAAGCGATCCTGCCAGGTGATGCTGGTCCACCATGTACATGTTTTGGACTCCATTGCCCCACAGTATTGTCTTATTTTATACAGTGACTGAGCTATTATCTGTCTAACCCTCAAATAGGTAAGCTCTGAATATCTCAAATATCTTTTGTAAAAGTTAATTCAACAAGTTTGATTTGAGGAACTTGATCAGCAATGCAGCTAAATTCTAAACATCACTGAGGATATGATGATAAGAATCTGAAGTGACAACTATGCAATTAAATCCTAAGAAGAAGGAGACAAAATTAGCTTTGTTCTGCATGTTTCCAAATTTTGTGTTTTCAGTATTCATCCTTGTTACCAGTAGAAGGCGCTAAAGTCCTGGTGTTAATCATACCTTGTTATGAGTTCAATTTATATATTACCTGAACTGTGAGTCAACAATTACTTCACTCTTAGCTGAAGGCTTTTATTTCTGCCCTGTGGCCACGATGAAGTGAGCGGATGCATCCATGGCATGACGCACGACTTTATATTCCAGGCAGGAGGACTCTGAGGCAGGTGGAAATCCCCCCTCTGCGGCTGACTTGAATTCCAGTCCAGGGTTTGACTGAGCCAGCCTGGAGGTATTGGCACGCACCAAATCTCAAAGTACATACACATTACGAAAGAATGGAGAGCATGCTGCTTTAAGCCTTGTTCCTGTGAGAAATATGAATATTCACTGAATATCACCTACATGTGTTCAGTATCACATATTTTGCTTTCGCATAATTTCATGCTGCATCAGGCAAAAGATAAAATGAATTCATTCAGTTTTCTTTACTCTTCCTTTTTTACCACTTCTGCTTGTGCTAAAAGAGAAATGCATATTCCGGTGCCCATCTCATACAAGCCAGCATAAAATCACACACTTAGGGAAATATTACTCTTTAATCTGGTTGTAATATGATATGGGACGGGACTCTCAGAGGGTCTGTTCTTAGACTTCCATTGGTCCACCTGTGAGACTGGACAGAGCCAGTTTAATTTGTTTAGGACCTGCTGGTGTAACAACATTGAGAGGCAAGGGTCTGTGGGTGCTTTTGTTCAACTTCTTTCATCTGCAAGCATGGATCATTTTGCTGAGGGGGTTTTAAGCTCACGCAAAACATGATTTGCATGTTGAAAAAAGTATGAAAATGTGAAGCTCAAGAGACAATTGTCCACATGTTCAATTGGTTCGGTTCTTAATCGAGGACAGGGAAATAACGTGTCTGGTTTCTTTTATGCTTTCCAATAATTTGAGGCATATAAAAAATGGAGCCACTCCTAGTCCCTTTGAGTGATTAAAAAAAAAAAAAACCTGAAACCTCTGGAAGCAAGAAGTTAAACACAGTAAACAATTATATTTAAGATAAACTGCTGAGAGGTCTCCATGGTTATAAGATTAAAACATCCACACATTGTGTGTTTTTACTCATAAAAACACACAATGTAATATAATTCCTTCACTGTTGAGGCTGTTCATTGACAACATAGTACTGGTTTAACAGACTATTTGAAGGCTTTGAAGTGAAGATCCAGATCTTTAATGCTTAAAAAACCTGTTGGGGTAGATTTCTGGTAAAACAATTCCAATGTTAATTTCCCTTTCACATAAATGGCCTTCTGACCGTTTCCCTAGACTTACCTTTACACTGGTTTATCCATCCATCCATCCATCCATCCATCCATCCATCCATCCATCCA